GGACAAGGGCACGTCTTACCCGGCCTAGGCGGCGTGATAAACGAACCCCTTGCAGCGTTGTTCGGAAATGCACCATTCTTCGTCTACGGCTTCGCGAACGCCACGGGCGCGAATCTCCCGACTCTAGGTAATCTGAATTCGCATCAAGCTCTCGTTGTCCCTGCGACGACGTCTTCCCACCCTTTACCGACTTTAACGAGTTCTTTTGCGCAAGTTCACCACCATCACCACCATCACCATCACCATCAACATCAACATCTACATCACTATCTACATCAACCAGTTCAACTTGCCTTATCCGACTTATTCGCCGACCAACAGACCGAGGAGCAATACGAACAAGAACAGATCCAAGACGCTTTGGACTGGGAAATGGCAAACTCTGAAGCAATGTTTGGACCTATTCGCCATCAAACTCGAAAATCACGCGTGGAAGTCGCTATCGCTCTCGTCCAGACACTGGACGAAGTCGACATTGCCAGTATCGAACCTGACGACATGAAATGTCCGCTTTGCTGGCTTCCTTTTGGCAGCACCACGGACGAGGAGGGTCCAACGATTGCCACCTTCCTCGACGAGGAAGAGCGAGAAATCACGGAGCGCTTACATGCGAGCTATACTCTGCCCTTCTGTGAGAACAGGCCGGACAACGACCCTGTTAGAACTCCATGTGGGCATGTCTTCGGACGACAGTGCCTAATCGATAGCTTGGAGACGAATATGATCTGTCCCATGTGCAGATGTCGGGTTGATGGGAACGAGGGCGTGACCTCCCCCTACCACTCCGGCTTCGGCAATATATTTTCGTGGAACACGTTATCGTAGTATACGAATGGTGTAAATTTTGTTTCCTAGTTGATTTGTATATACGCTCGAGATGGGTGATGCCATCTTTCTAATGCGGCCGGCGCAGGGGATGTGCTTCAGTATTGCTACAGAATTGTTAGCGTCATCTTCAACATCACAAGGGCCATACTCACAATACATATTCGTCCAAGCTGACAAGGCTTGGCTCGCTGAAGATCAAATAGAAATACTTCAGAGTTTCCGCCATCCAAAAGCTTTCACATTCATCCAACTTGAGTGTCTCTTGCCCTTGTGGTATTGTGACGTCGGCGATGGCAGAATGAGCGAACTCTGCATGAGTGGCGTTGTTGATGGCCTCGAACATGCGCCAGGCAGTGTCTTGGAGGGTGGTGTCGCCGGTGATACGATAGAGGACGAATACTGATTCGATGGCTTCTGGGCTGTGACTGATGTTAGCTACGCATGTCAGAAGTGATGCGCATACTTACCGTAACAAGAATCGCGGGTCTCCAATCTTAGAGAAGCCCGGCTGCAGCCCTACCTCCTTGATGACGTCTTGAACGTCATAATGCTCCGCGTGGATGTTGTTGGAGTAAGAGTACCTGACAGAGGCATGCCATTTCTCCACATCCCACGCGCAATCTTCTTCTCCAAAGCACGGCATCATCCGGAAGGTTTCCGGCATGATACCCGTAGGCATAGTATCATAAGCCCAGGTGCACCCGTCCACTAACTTGCGAGCGACGTCTAGCTCATCCGTCCGATTGAAGATCTTTGCGCCCAAAGCAACCATGCCACCCGTAAAGCAAGCGAGGTGCTGGCCGTTGGGCTCGAGCTTGACAGTGCCTGAGGTGCTGATTCGCGCATCGCCAGAGACGAGGATGTTGTCACCCTGGGGTATCCTGGGCCGGAAGAACAAATGCTCTTTCGCTGGCTCGATGGCGCGCTCGTATAGCTTCCGGTATTGGTCTGTCAGACCCCCGAGGAGCAAGTGCTGCTTCGGCAAGTATTCGTACAGCGAATCGGTCATTCCACCCATTGTGAATGATCCGTCAACGTTGTATTCCTCCCTTCCTGGACTGACCAGTATTGGGAATAGCCCTGGTATCTTCGTCCGGTTCTGATGCTTTTCGAGCACGTCGGTGATCCTCGCTATCGCGTCGTAGTACTTCGCATCGCCAGTAAGCTGCGACAGGCGGGTGAATTCGAGTGATAGCGATCCTATCTCGGCGCTAAGAGCTTGCGTATCAGCCTCTTGGTGGCCATTTAGAGCAGCACTGATTTCTGTTAGTCTGTGTGGGTCGGTAGCATGGAGCAATCATACTTCTCCCAGTCCCATCGGGTGATGGGCATCCTGTTCGGGGTGTCAAAGGCGGCGTAGAGCATATCCCCCAACTCGGTCGCCTTGTGTAGTAGTGCATGGTGCTTCGCCTTGCTTAGATCGTATGCGCTTAGAAGACCCCCCAGGTAGCGGATCGTAGTCTCGAAGACGTTCAGACGCGCGACACCTGCAGTAGTGAAGTCAATCTTCTTGATGGCATGTACGGCCTCCTCAAATTCTTCTTCTAACCCTAGAATGATCAAAGTATCCAGGGTGTCAACTAGAGTTGCTCCCCGCTGCCCGAAGCCGTTCTTGAAGCCTCCTGTTACCGGAGTGACTTCATCCTGTAGCCACGCGTGGGTCTTATATCCTCCCCAGCTGTGTAAGAATGCCTTCTTTACAGCAGCTTGTCTATGCAATCTCTCCGCCTTGGTGTGTTCCGTCTCAATGCCAAATTCATGTTGGATTCTCGGGATGGCAACCGGGGCGCCAGTGGGGAGAGGAGCTAGCGATGATACCGGGTTTCGCACCGGTATGCTCTTCCATTGTACGGCGTGATCGATTCGGGTCGACGAGGTGAACGTCGGCAGGGGGAGTCCGTTTCGGGCGCTGAGTTGGCGAAAGGCAAGGATGACAAAGGTAGCGAATACAAATAGCACAGCAATGCGTCGGATAATGGGGCTCATAATGTCTATTGAGGGTATCTCAAACTAAAATGGAAGAAACGCGACTGCTGCGCCGCGGAACACAGGGCCAGCATCCGAGGATGCAAAAGAGCAATTGAATGGGACAAGAATGTGTTGAAAATACAGGAAACAAAAAAGACAGACGATATGCAATAGACACAGCGGAATGCGACCAGGTGGGATGAAAGAAGGAGCCCCGTGGTGATGCACATGCTAAAGATAGGCTGAAGTGCCGATCCTCCGACCCTGAGCTAGCGGCTCCGCGCGTCATCGTCAACCCATCCATGGATCACTACCACCACCGTTATCGATCTCGCAATGTCAAGGAGATATCTCAGGGAGCACTGCCTGACTGTTTAATTACTGGCGCGACTGCCGCGGACGGCTTCTTTGTCTCACGTGCAGTAGGCAGCAGTTGTTGATGCTTACTCAGGAGACCACGCGCGATGTGAGACTGCGAGACAGCCAGCCATCTTCATCGGTGTATCATACAACGGCGCTCCATTCACCGTGTGTAATGTGAAGTCTGCGTATCGCCATGTCAGCAAGGTTCCGGGAATTTTGCGTCGTTGAAAGCTATATGGGCCACGAGCTTCGCACCTTCTGCTTTCATCATCTCATCACTTCGCGCTAAGTTACCTCAAGAACAACAAACCTTACATTGACAGAATGTTTACACTCTTCGGAGATCGCGCCCCTTCATCGCCCCCAGATCCGGCCAAACTCCAGCTCCGACCCAACGAATGCCAAGTGCACAGCCTTTCTGACGGGCGCTCTCTTGGCTTCGCAACCTATGGATCTACGAACTCGTCGCACCCTGTCATCTTCCTTTTTCATGGCCTGCCAGGCTGTCGTTTGGTCGGAAGAAGCTGGGACAAGCTCTGCAGGGACATCGGCGCGCGTCTCATCGCCATGGATCGTCCAGGCTGTGGAGATTCGACGCTCGCGGACCGAAGTCTCGTTGACTGGCCTGCAGATGTTGTGAGCCTCGCAGACCATCTCAACATTGAGCGCTTCAGCGTGCTCGGTGCTAGCGGAGGCGGACCATACGCGTTGGCCTGCGCACGCTTCATTCCCCAAAAACGACTTCGGGCGGCGACTGTGGTGTGCGGTATTGGACCCATCGAGGCACTTCTAGACACTGTGCCCTATCTATCATGGCGGCTCATGGGTATAACTCCATGGCTGCTACGGCAAGGGGCCCTCCGTGTCTTCCTACCTCACATCCTCATTCGTCCCTACCTCACTAGGGACCCTTCCCGCCTCAAGCGTGTCCTCGAAGACCAAGCCAAGACTCCAGAAGAGAAAGAGCAATTTCGCGACAACAGCGGAGAGACCGATCTTGACGACGTTGTCGCATCATTACTTGAGGCCTTCAAGCAAGGCGCAGGCGGATGCATGCAGGATGGTGCTGCGCTTACGAGAGAATGGGGCTTTGATCTGAAGGACGTAGACAGCGAACGGGTCTTGCTAGTACATGGTGATCAAGATGCGCAGGCGCCGTTGAAGGTTGCGCAGTGGATCGATGAGAGATTGGGCGGCGGAAGACTGCGGACGCTCGAGGGCAAGACACATTTTACGATCTGGAAGGAGCATTCGGAGGAGATATTCCGACAAAGCGCTGAGGCGTAAGTATATCGGTGGATGAATGAGTGTTCGCAAGTTCCGCTGCAAGCGCTCTTCTCCAAGGCTTGGTACGGCTGGGCGTAATGCGCAGCCGGCTCATCTTCAAATTTCGCCCATGTCCGATTTCGTCACTCGGAGATGCGGGCTTCCAGTCGGCTTTATCAGGACAACATTCAACATCTCCTTCACCGTTAACATAGCCATGTAAGTCTTCCCTCAACTATAGCGATGTCAAGAATATATAAACACTCAAGCATCTCACCTCTTAGCTGCAACATACTGCATTACCCACTTACCACAACAACCATCCAAAACCCTACACAACGACCATGTATCTATCCATCTTCAGTCCTATGTTATTAGCAATAGCCTGGCTTGTTACTTTTGCATCATCCATGCCTTCCAAGGGTTTCTCGCCCGTATGGGAATCACTCGCCCCTATCCCTCTTTTCTCTCGTCAGGAACACTCCACAGTATTCCTCCCACCATCTACTATCGCAATTCTTGGCGGTATTATCCCATCCAATACATCCTTCCCACCCATAGACACTACCTCTCTGATGCAATTCTACTCAATCACGAACAACACCTGGACCACGAGAGCGAGCATGCCACGAGGCCTCAACCACGCCAATGCAGCCGTTGTGGACGGGAAGATATACGTCTTAGGTGGCCTGGCAGAGACGGACAACGAGACAACAAGGGTATGGGGCGCAGTACCAGACTCATGGATGTACGACCCTCTTACAGACGCATGGGAAACTATTCCAGGAATACCTACCGGCGAAGAAAGAGGAAGTGCCGCCGTCGGTACCTACCAGTCCAAGATCTATCTCGCTGCCGGTATGTCGGAGCTTGAACTTGTGGAACATGGCCGCCAGAACAGTGTCTCCGTTGTGTCCGTCTTCGATACCAAGACCAGAACATGGCTCGCCGTTCCAGAGGCTGCGAAGTATATCCCAGAAGCCCGAGATCACGCTGGTGCTGCAGTTGTGGGCTCAAAGATGTACGTCCTCGGTGGACGGGACAGCGGACAAGAAAATCTTCGCGACACGGTCTTCATCCTCGATCTTTGTGATCTGGAAGCCGGTTGGAAGACTAGCTCGACGCGCATGCCTACGGCTAGGGGTGGTGTCGCGGCTGGTGTTATCGGGAAGCACATCTACGTCTTCGGCGGTGAGGGCAATACGCTATCGGAGACCGGAGTCTTTAATCAGGTCGAGGTCTATGATACCGTGCGGGATCGATGGTCGAAGGCTGGAAAGATGAAGCTTCCTAGGCATGGCACGTATGCTGTCGGCGTGGAAGGGAAGGTGTACATACCTGGAGGCGGTGTAAGTCAAAGCGGCGCGCCAGTGTCTGCCTTCGACGTCTTCATTCCTTAGGGTGTATTCATGGCGCGATCTGGGGTCGACCTGGAACGAAGCGGTCAGAGTTGTGGTAAGATTTCTCGAGTCAACGTCAGCACCATTTTACTCGTTTGCAAGAGTTAGATTGGATATATGTAATCAGTCATTCGTTCGTAGCAATATTTTCCGCATCAAATCTGTCATACCGCAATGATGAGAAAAGAATACTACGTTGGTTGCCGTTGCTGTTCCCTCGCCCGTGCTTGCAAGCCTCATCTGCCGAGCCCTTTCCGCGCTCCAAGTATAGTGTTGAGATGACACTCTCGGTCTACGGTGTTGAACTCGTAATAGTAATCGGATAGCAACAAAGCCAAGGGTTGATGGAGGTAAGTAAGAGCTATGCCCTTAGTATCCCCGTCTGACATCCATAGACTCCCACTAGTTCTGTTTCGGCGGTGAGCGGTGAGATCTTCCAGATTCGGTAGATCCATGTCGGCCCGCATGACCACAGAGAATCAACAAACGGATGCTGTACACTCGCCATTGCGATAGAGTTCGATGGACGCCTTTGGCTTTGCGATGGATGCATGCGCGACGAAGATCTTTGCGGAGGGTGGTAGCCTGAAGAAGCAGGAGACAGATGGCCATAACGAGCTAGCGGCAGCTGATGTGACGCTAGGAGAGAAGCCTCGGAACATTTGACCACCACAAACATGATGCGCTTACCACTTGCACCTTGCACAACATTCACAGGTCGTTCCATTCAGCCTCCGACGTTTTGTTGGACCTTTTGAGGCTGTTGGAGCGAAGAGATCAGTTCTGGAACTGCTCGATATTATAGCGCGCCACGAACCCAGCCCTTGGACCTGGCATGTTTCACTCTGCCCGCGCCATAACGTGCGGATAGCCACACATGTGGGCGGATCAGGTATGGATGTGGCGCGTGTCAAACCCTAACTAATTTCGACCCGGTCGCTATCCGACAAAGTGCAGGCCTCTCCCTTGAGCCTCTACACGTGGAGCGCTTTCTCGTACGATCCACCACTCAGGCATCGCGGCAGACCTGCAAAACGTGAAACACCATCTGCACCCCTCACATTAGATTGCCTGGACATGCAGGCCTAGACACTTTTTGACCAATTCTCCGTACCGGCTTCTTCATGCACATACCGAGAATGTCGTTTCCACCATTCAGAATGCAGGTCAGCGCCGGACTGGCAATCTCACCTCTCCACGTCTAGTCCATGCCAAAGGTTTCGGGATGGTCCGCATTGGGAATCTTCAAGAGGTCTAAAAGTACCACCGGTAATATATAGGATGATGACCAGGCACTGTCTGTTTGTTTCATTCATCTATTGCTTCTTGTTTCCTCTTCCATTCGCTACCAATCGCCAGGATGCGTTACTCTATCGTCGCGTCGTTGCTCTCGGCTGCTACCGCCGTCTACGGCTATGCTGACCCCATGGCCTGTTCCGGTATTTGCAACAACGCTCACGACCCGGCCCTTATCCGTCGCGCCGATGGCACTTACTACCGTTTCTCTACGGGTGGTAAGATTGCTATTCACACCGCGCCTTCGATCACCGGTCCGTGGTCCTACAAGGGTGCCGCGATCCCCGCTGGTTCCAAGATCAACTTGGCTGGCAAAGACGATCTCTGGGTACGTTCTGTCAAGTATACGCTTACTAGAAGACGAGCTAACGAACTCAGGCTCCTGACGTGACCCTGGTCGGCGACACATACTACCTGTACTACACTGTATCGTCTTTCGGAGTCCAGAACTCCGCCATTGGTGTTGCTACTAGCAAGGACATGAACACCTGGACCGACCTTGGTGCCACTGGCATTCAGTCGAGCGCGGGAAAGAACTACAACGCCATTGATGGTGCGCTATACTGGGATGGATCCAAGTTCGTCATGGCCTTCGGCTCCTTCTGGAACGACCTCTTCGTCCAGAACATGGCCAACCCACCCGTCAAGACCAGCTCTTCCACTGTGACCAACATCGCCTTCAAGCCCGAGGGAGAGCACGCCCAGGAAGCTCCGTTCATTGCTCTGAACGGCAACTACCACTACCTATTCTTCTCCGTTGGCAAGTGCTGCGGCTTCGATGCCAACAGGCCTGCCGCGGGCCAGGAGTACAAGATCCAAGTCTGCAGGTCTACCAGCGCCACTGGTGGCTTCAAGGACAAGAACGGTGTCGACTGCACCAAGGGTGGCGGTACCACTGTGTTGGAGTCCCACGGCTTTGTCTACGGACCCGGTGGTCAGGGTGTCTACTACGATCCTAAGGAGGGCCCTGTACTATATTACCACTACGTCGACACCCGCATTGGTTACGGCGATGGCCAGAAGAAGTTCGGTATCAACAAGATCAACTGGTCCAGTGGATGGCCTGTTGTATAAGCACTTCTCGGAAGTGTGGGCACATGTCAGGCTCAGTGTCGGCTGCTTGCTCGTCCCTTTGGACGCCTTCATGTCTATACCTTTTTCTCTCTACACCTTTACATATACCTATTCTGTATATATTTGCACAATGCATACATATGTGCCAACATTATCGCGCTACTTGAAACGTTGTGCAGTTGCTTTTTTGGTTCAGACTGCGAGACAGCAGCTCACTATGGGAGGTTTTGGCAAAGCCGAGCCATTAGCACTCTTATTTAAATGGCTTTTCTGACAGCAGGACCAAGAAGTAGATGACTTTATTGGCGTTTGTTAGTATTGTGCTTGCACATTAGTCCGACTGCGTCGAAGGCATGAGGCTTGCGTCATCAACAGCCCAGCCACAGCCGAGCAGCCACAGCCACGCGTCCACAGCGACCTCCTAAAGCACTGCACGCACACTCGGCGTCATGCCGCAAGTTATCCACTGTTCTCTCCTCGCAAACCCTGTGTATTTTTAGATCCCACGATATACATATATCTCGTGCACCGAGGTTTATCTGCCTGGCCTCGGCAAAACCTGTCGCGATGCGCTCCATTACCACAACTCGGCATATTGCCAACCCGATCTGCAGGATCGACATACGCGTACGCATGGACTGAATTTCTCTTCAGTCATACCAAGAACTCGCACGCGCTTTCCGAAGAGCGCGTCGCGATGCCACTCGATAAACCCACGCATTTCAACCAACCCCAAATTTTCCACAGCTTCCGATACCGGCCGCTGGACCCCTCCGAGGGTGAGGATATTCGCCTCTTGTGTCTCTACCCCGGCGAATTTCACGATCCTATCCGATGCGATCTCCTCCACACGAACCTGGATGATGACATCGAATACGAGGCCCTTTCCTACACGTGGGCGTCCGAAGATGGAGACGCTAGCTTGTCACAACGGATTCATTGCGCTTACTTTGGAGAGGAACACACCTCGATTCTGCCAGTAACTCTGAGCTGCGCGTCTGCGTTGCGCAGGCTAAGATCTACCTCGCAAGAAAGAATGCTATGGGTCGATGCACTCGCTATTGATCAAAGCAACATGCAAGAGCGAAACCAGCAGGTCTCAATCATGGCAAGGATATACTCAGGCGCTTCGCAAGTTTTGGTCTACCTAGGAGAAGAAGACCTAGGATTCGGTAATCGCAATCTATGGCTAGATACCGAGAGACGACAAGTTGCGCTACAAAAGCTATTTGCCAAGAGATGGGCCTCACGGGTATGGGTGATTCAAGAAGCAGCGCTGGCGCAAAAATTAGTGATGGTTACGGGCAACACATCATGTCCTATGGATACTAATCTAATGAGCCGCATCCGGGGAAGAGCCAAAATATCTGGGTTGCAGATACCCGGTCCGCTAGCTTGGGACCCACTAGTCAGTGCGCCAACGAGAGACCTACTCACGATGCTGCATATGACACGCAATTGTTCCTCGACAGATCCGAGGGACAAGATATATGGTCTTTTGGGCTTGGTCGGCGAGCGCTTGCAGAGTTTGGTACCGATCGACTACTCACAAAGCGTGGATGAGGTTATGACACGCGCGGCGGCCGCAATCATCATCTGCAGAGAAGACTTCGAGATATTAACATACGCGTCGCATAGAGCGAGTCCTACGCGTCATCACTTACCGACTTGGGTACCAGACTGGACTGAGTCGACAGGCCATATTACCATACGTCCTCAATTCCAAAGCTCGAAGATAGGGCCCTGGAAATCGTTGGAGAAGTTGATGTGGAACCGGCCTGGAGCTGCTCAGACTCGCGAGATAGACTGGGAATCAGTGGTTGATATACCCGCCAGCTGGCCGGCCAGTATCTACTCAAGACCGTCTATTGAAGTTCGTGCACACTGCCTTGCAACCATAGACAGCACTACCATGCAAGGGGACAACGATGCTCATCGATGTCAAGGCGCTCGGGATTTTGGTTTCGGCTTGAAGAATCTGATGGATAGTGACGCTGCACCGCGCGGTTTTGATATGCAGTCGTGGCCTACACGTTATAGATGGCTCTTCGATCCCCACTTCACTCGCCTCAACCAGCCCCAATCTCGTACAACAAGCGCCGGGGATCTCCATCAGATTGGACTACAACAGTTCTGCGCCGAGCTCCAATCGCTTAGCATAGACAAACGCATCTTTCGAGCTGGATACCTCCCGGCAGTGACGAATCACGACTTCGAGGTGGGCGATACTGTATGGGCGATTGATGGTTGCACAGTTCCGCTTATTCTCAGGGCTGAGTCTAACGTGCAGCGTAGAATGGCTGGTCGTCGCAGTTTCGTCATCGTGGGTGACTGCCACCTGTTTGCTTTGTCGCATCTCGATTGTTGGACGACAGCGGGAACTGGACTTGATCAACGATGGGATTTTGATCCTTTTCGCCATATGGATGCAATGGGCACGCAGATGATCAATATATATTGATGGCTCTGTTACTGGGTTCGTCATGAGGCTGAGTCTCAGCCTGATGTGGCTGTGGTAACCACTGATTGGTCAAGCACAGCCGGCGCAATGCATGCACCATGCCACAACCCGGAACTCAGGGTCACCTAAGCGCGTGTTCTCTTATAAGACTCGGGTTCCTTAGGTCGCCATTTCCTCAGATCACTTACAAGTTTGAATGCGCGCGCGACCGACCCCGCACAACGCAACGTACCAGATTACAACAACATGTCGGAGTCATCGTGCAAACATCTAGATGTACGCAAATTTGACGGATTGAGGTGCTGCCTCGGTTGTGGCGAAGCTGTATTCGAGGGCTTGTCTTCAGTAGCCCTCAGTCGCATGACCATCACTACAGCCCCTTACAAATACGAAAGGTTGAACTATGAACTCGGGCGCGAAATTCGACTCATAATCCTCCTTTCAGGCCACTCTGAGGATCCACTTCGATGCGACATTGTTCATGTCAATCTGGATGATGATCCTGTATATGACGCTGTATCCTATACGTGGGCCACTGAGGACGGAGACGCGTCTCTCTGCAAGGCTGTTCGATGCGTACGAGGTGGCCTTATTGCAGTTACTGCAAACTGTCATGCTGTTCTTCTTCAAATGAGACGGCCTGGTGGTACACGGAAATTATGGGTTGACGCTATCTGTACGTAATGCTACCCCTTCCAAATGTAGATCAGATCTTGCTGACACAAAAGGCGATTATAGGCATCGACCAGACGAACATAGACGAACGCAGCCATCAGGTCGGATTCATGGACTTGATCTACTCCAATGCTCGGAGTGTTCATGTCTGCATTCAGGACTCTCTACCAGCAAACTTTTCCCCGGACTATCACCAACTGTTTCACTGGCTAACCAGCAGTGGAAGTAGAAAGTATGCAGACGCTGACACATCACTATGCGTCAACCTGCAGCACCTTCTATCACTGAGATACTTCGACCGAGCCTGGGTGATCCAAGAAGTAGCTTTGGCGCGAGTCGTATACCTCCACGTGAACGACCATGTTCACCCCCTCAAATCAATTCCCATGCGTCGCTTAGAGTATCTTTGCCAAAAAGAAAACTTCAAGCTTCCCCCTGTTCTCGGATGGTCTGGATATCAGAAGACTGAAGCTGGAATCATCGCATGTCTACGCGCAGGCATGAGGTCCAAGGCCACTGATGTGCGCGATCAAGTTTACGCAGTCCTAAGCTTATTAGAGCCCCAAGCTAGGACCCTCATACCCGTGGATTATTCTTTGGGTATCAATTCGGTGTACGCACATGTGGTTGTTGCCATCATTGTGGTGTGTCGCAAACTCGATATACTATCATACGCTACCATAGCGTCTAGACCTGGCGAATATCAGAGTTTAGATGGACGGCGAGGCTCATCTCTGCGAATTTGTGATTTACAAGCTTTCCTGGAAATGCCAACGGTCACTAGTCCAACCCGGACCGCTCCTCTTAGTTTACCCCGGTTCGAAGGTCCCTATACTGCACCTTGGCGTGTGGATGTCGACGTCAAAGTGTGCATGCCATCAGAATATAAGGATACCTCCGAGCACAGAGACAAATCGTGCGTAATCAGAACGCCCTCTGCGAGTTTGTCTGGTTTACTACCACGTTTTCACGTACGGGCGCATTATATCGATCGCTTGCTTGAAAGAGATATCGTGCTCCCTGTTCAGAGTCGCCAACATCGGCGCGAAATTGATTGGGAGATGGACGCCAATGGGGAGATGAAGGAACTTGATCAGGACATACACTGGCTCGATGGGCAATCGAATATCCGGCGAATCTCCTACGCTCTCTTCGAGAAGTTCGCCCGCTACTTCAAAGTAAAGGAAGGGACGCCACGTGATACAGACGCTTTCCTTTCAAGTCTGGGCTATGACGTGCGGAGGTTCGTTGTCTCATCTACATGTCTTACCGTTGATGACATTGAGCGGAAGCATCCACACGTCGCAGCTGCAGATATGTTGAAGTTCTTCGAGGCCTGCAAAACCTTACAGGAAGGCCACCCTGCTTTCTTCAGTCACTTCAGCGTTGGTATTGCCAGCTTTGACCGAAGAGATTCTGGGATTCTTCAACCTGGAGACGAAATCTTCGCAATCGACGGTGCACGCACTCCCTTCATACTGCGTAACACTGGCAACTTCTCGTATAGGGTAGTGAGCGAGTGTTATCTTTGGGCTGCAATGGAGCTCGATTGCTGGAACCCAGGCAGTAAGAAGGGGCGATGGGGTCCAGGTGTCGTAAGACCTACTATCGAGCAGACGCGAATGATTGAGATTTGCTAGTCGATCGAACGTATCGACCACTCAGTTCATTATCGTGCACACTGGCTATTATGTGTTTCGAATACAGATGATAGGTGGTACAAGCCGACGAAATTCCAGGATTGTGCTTTATGGTTGCATGGTGCATGCTCTCCACCAAACTTCACGATGCGAAAGTTGGGTGAGATGGCGCAACGCAGCGCATCACAAAGATCACAAGCACCAGGTATCACGATGTCCGCTGTCTCGTCGGCGACTGGATCTGTACGACCGGAAAAGCGGCTTCGCGTAGCGGATACGGTTGAAACGATGGTTCACCCCACTTGTTTTCGCTAGCGACTCCATCAAGTCGACACCACCGATCGTGGGAACCTGGCGTTTATGATACATCCTCCCTGCCCGGGCAGATGCGACCGCTCGCGGGGTGTTGAGCTCGCACGTACAAATGACGTATACATGATGTTCAACTCTACACTGCGCCCTCAAACTGGAGTTCACCTTTCCTCTCGTGACCAGCTTGTCGTTGAGTAACTCTTATCTCTATATTCTACCATTCCATTATGTCGCATCAAGAAAACACCAACAACGTTCCTGACGAACACCGTGTGCATAGGACCGGCTCCTGGCTTCCGGCAGACCACCGCGTCCACAAGAAATGGTTGGCGGGCATTATCGAGCGCGTGGAAAACAACCCTCAAGAGCTGCATCCCGTCTTGCGAGAGTTCAAAGACATGATCGAAAACAACACACGCATCTACTTGTTGATCAACTCCATGTTTGAAGAAATACCTACGAAGAAGCCGTATAAGAACGATCCCGTGGGCCACAAGCAGGTCCGCGATTACCATCATATGCTGGAGCTGTTCAATCATATTCTTGCAACGGCGCCTGAATGGAGTGATCACGAGTACTCTGTTGGGATGGTAGGAACGCCGCTCAATGCTATCTTGGACTGGCCGATGGTATGCATCTGCAACAAACCCCGCATGGAACATCTGTTGACCGTAGTACGTAGGGCACGCCATCTGGCTTTGCGTTTTTCCTGGATCCAGAAGTCAACAAGATGCTCAAAAAGGTTCTCAATGCATGGGCAGAGTTTCTCGCGTCGCCGGCGTCAGCATACGTGCTTAGTGACAATAAGATCGGCTGGCTCAGCGATCACGGCACTCACGATCTCGCATTGACAGCCAACGTTGGTCAAACGTCTTACGCTTTCGAAGAGTTCTTCCGCTGCGATCCGTCTAAGAAGCACCATGGGTACAAGTCCTGGGATGACTTCTTCACGCGCCATTTCCACGAAGACAAGCGGCCCGTCGCCAGTCCTGACGACGACAGCGTCATTGCCAATGCTTGTGAGTCGAAGCCCTATAAGGTAGGGCGTAACATCTCCAAGCGCGACCGCTTCTGGATGAAGGGCCAACCTTATTCGCTCATGGACATGCTTGCGATGGACCCACTGCACGAGCAGTTCATTGGCGGCACTATCTACCAAGCCTTCCTTTCTGCGCTAAGCTACCACCGCTGGCACGCGCCTGTCAGCGGTAAGGTCGTCAAGTCGTACCTCGTTGAAGGCACTTACTTCTCCGAACCACTCTTCGAAGGTCTTGGTGACCCCTCCGCTGGGGGCAATATCGACGAGGGCGGCGAGAAGACAGGTCAGGGTTACCTTACCGCAACAGCTACGCGGGCTATCATCTTCTTTGAAGCTGATAACAAGGATCTCGGCTTGGTGTGCTTCATGGGCATTGGAATGACTGAGGTTTCGACGTGCGAGACTACTGTCAAGGAAGGCCAACACGTAAAGAAGGGCGATGAGATTGGCATGTTTCACTATGGTGGAAGTACACACTGTGTTATCTTCATGAAGGGTGTGGAGCTGGAAGGATTTCCGGATCCACAGAACGCTGAGCACAACGTGCCTGTGAGAGCAAAACTCGCGACTTTGAAGAAGACTACATAAATGTATTGGCAACCATCAGCAACGCGGATTATCCTATACAACCCTGACAAGATCGCCACAACGAGAAGCGACAGGGGAAGTCCGGCGCCTCCCATACTCTTCATCTCGCATCTCCCCTCTCAATTCAACAGCCATTATCTATCGCAGCTTCATTATCAAATATGCGACTAGATGTCATCGTTTCATTGCGATAAAACCAGAGATATCGCGATAGCGATACCCAGTGCAAGCCTCCAGGCCTAGAATCCTAGCAGATGTGAAGCCTACGCGCAGATTGACATCTGGGCATGTCCATACAGTCAGCCGCACACGTCCTCACAACTAATCTCAGCAACGACTTGGCACTTGAGCGACTCAAAAACACTGAGTTTGCTGGGAACTGAAATCCCCGACGCGGAAAGATCGCCTCTTCAACAGTAGCGTTGCATATGTGACATCTGCAACATGGTCCACAACCAGCTCTTCTTTCCCTTACATATACAAAGTAATGAAAGCTGATTCGATCCAACGATATCGACGTTGCTGCTTTCCAGAAGCACCTTTCATATACCCGTAGTTTGGTGCAATTAAACGGGCTGTTCAAGTTCCACGAAATGCTTTCGGCAATAGGCTTTTGAATCTCCAGGGAACTGGACACGTTTTATCCTTGGGGTGTAACTTCGTATCCAATCGATGAACGTCCAAGTCGAACAGTCTTTCAATGAGACAGGTACTGGTGAAATATCATTGCTCCCTAAGTCCAAACGAACCGGGAGGGTTTGATTGGCGATATCTTTCATCATCGAGGGCAGATGAGCAGGAAGGCGCCAAACACAAGAAGACATATTCGTTAAGACTTCCTCGTCCTGAATATCGTGCTCCTCGTAGTCTGCCATGGCAGCGGGTAGGCTGGCTCTCAACGTAGCAGCATTGATAATGCTATTCCATATGTGAGCGGCTTTGTCAGACCGAGCTTCAATTTCGACAACGAAGGATACTGATGGCATGCCCTGGGATGGTAGAGCCGCCAGACGGATCAGCCATTCGAGTACAACGCGCATGTGATCGTGTAAACGGCACCATGTGACAGATTTTGGCGGGCGTGTGACTGCTTCCGACTTAGCCCAGCAAGAAGGGACAATGTTGGTGTATAATCCTGCGTGCATACGGATGTGTAGCTTGGAATTTTCCAAGCAGAAAGGAATGAGGCCCTCGGCGTGAGCTTCTGGGTTACTGATGCCTCGAGCTTCTTCTTGGAGATTGATGAAACGGATGTTCTTACAGATATCAGTCTGGAGCCTGCTGAGTGCATCGATACAGATCGCTGTCGCTGAAAAATAGAGCTTGACGTGTCCATATTCTCCAGTCCAGTTCCATTGGCCTGGCGTAACCGGCGCTAACAACTGCTCAAGGACTTGTAGTTCTTGGATAGTGGGTATATGCCACGGGCTTGGGCGCCAGTTTAGAACTTGTCGGTGTGTTCCTTCCAGAAACGGACAGCGCCCTTGGTATTGGTAGTGCTTCGGTAAGGTAAAAGCTTTGCCTGCGAGCGTGTCAAAATTTGGAAGTGAAGCGACCTGGTCCAGAGTGTATTGCACAGCATCGCAAAATGACGTCGTGAAGACATCTTGGACCATTGCATCGGGTTGACGCATATGATAGAAGTCTCGGCCGCTTTGTATAGCTCGGAAGGCAGACTTGTAAACACTGCTTAGGTACGGAAATGCTTGCACGACATTAGCGAGGATATCGTCCGTGACGAGCTCTGCAACGTAATGCAGCATGACTAGCTTAGTCCATCGAGCGGAATACAGGAGGTTTTCGAGTCGTGATGCTCTGGAGCGCAGTCCGCGGAAGTCATCCTCTCCTGATTCGTCGCAGCTTGACGTGAACGTAATAGTGTTGAAGCGAAGGGGAAGGCCTCGCATCTCCTTCGCGATTGCCTTGCATGTGTAGCTCAACTCCAAACCTCTTCCGTTTACGAAGCGTAGGCTGCGCGACGGAAAGTCGTAGAAAAGTCCGTCGTCTTCATGCGAATAGTAGGCGTAAATCTCGTCGCGGATTTCCCTTGGTATTCGAAATAGTGGCGACGTACGTTGTTCAAGCATGTTGTTGAGGATAACTAGGATCGGTAAGCCGGTTGTTTTGTAGGTTTGTATGAAGCGACTGTAGGTGCTGAGTGACGCGGGGCTTCAAATAGAACTTGCGCGTAGGCGCTACAACAGGCAGCCTTCGTCATGTGACTTCCCACCGAGCCATTGGAACCATGTTCTCGAGTGGTCACACAGGCGGGGTCCGTACTATTGACAACGTACCATGGTACTGGAGATTAGCGAATCTCATGAGCAATCACTGCATGGCAATGGTCGCACAGAGGTGGAGTTACACGCATGTACGAAGATATGTGGAGGATGTAAATTAGAGTACTGAAATTACTCAACTTAGTCACTAGCTACTCTGAAACGCGCAAACATTGACCGTCCATTCACCATAAGGATGTTACGATCCGTGGTTTCTGCAACTCCGAGGAAGCTCCTTCCAAAACTTTCGGGAGTATGCTTGCGCATCGCCAGGGAACGAAACTTCGTCCCTCACCGCGTCGTAGACTCGAAACCAGTCCATAAGTGACCACGTAGCATATGGGTTTGCATAAATCCATCGCTTAGAGCGCTCGATAGCAGGAATCTCGAGCCGAATTATGGACTCATCCTTGATGATGTCTTCGACCATAGATGAGAGCTCTGTCGGCAGTGTCCATAAGTATTTGTACAGATCGGTCGTACCCCTTGACTGAAGATAATCATCATTTTCAATCTCTTCTGGGACGTGAATTCTTGTAGCTGCAGCTCTGGAAACATATTGCCATATATAGGTACCTTGTTCAGAACGAGCGTCAAGAACAACGGTGAAAGACTTCTTCGGCATCCCGAGTTTGGTCAAAGCAGTCGTACGAATCATCCAATCTACCAGAATGCGAATGTAAGCGTACACATGAGTCCGCGTATCCGGATCGGGATTGGTCGTCAGCCGCCCCGGGAGGTACCAGAAAGCTGGGGCAAGCATAGTAGAAAAGCTTGCTTGCATCTCGAATTGCAGCTTGCCGTTCTCTGTGCAGTATTTTATGAGGCCTTCAGCATGGACCTCTGGGTTACCAACACTTTTACAGTCTTCTTGGAGTATGATGGAGCGCAGCTGTTTCCGAGTGCTGGGGGCGAGCCTGCTGAGCGCGGCGATACATATCGCGGTTGCCGAAAAATAGAAATTGATACCTAGATGACTTTTCTCGCAATCGACCTTTCTGCATGGGGCAACAGTCAACAGTTCTTCCATAGGGGAAAGGTCGTCATGAGTGGGGATCAGCCATAAGTCAGGCCGCCAGCCGAGAACTTGTTGATGCGATCCTTGAATAAAAGGTGGCTCGCGCCAATAGTAGTAATCCGGCAGTTCGCACGCCTTGGAGATGAGTTCTTGAAATTTGGGATGAGTCGAAGAAAGGTCCAGAGCGTACTGTACTGCGTCGCAGAAGGATGCAGTGAAGCTTTCTCGTGGTAAACGACATGACATCCCTATGCTTGTGAGTTCAGAGGCTGGTCGAGTTGTGTGAAGAAATGCCCGAAAAACGCTGCGGACTGCTGGATATGTTTCCGTGACCTTTGCGATGACTTCTTCAGTTACGCACTCGGCGGCGTAACCAAGCATGATCATCTTGGTCCATCGAGCTACCCACAGTAGATGCTCGAATCTCCCTGCTAGTGAACGCCGCCGACAAATGCTGTCCTCATCGATCTCCGAGCAACAAGGAACGAACGTGACGACATTCACCTGTAGATGGATACCCTTCATCTCATTAGCTACCATCTTGCAAGTACGAGGCAGATTGAGCTCTTTGCCACTGGCATACTGCAGCGTCTTGGAAGTGTAGTCGTATTCCAAGCCTTCTTCATCATAAGAGTAGTACTCGTAGATTTGATCGCGCAGCTCGCGAGGCAGGCGGCAGAGAGGTGATTGTTGCTGGTCGGCAGGTTCCGAAAGGTTGGGAGCGGATGTGGGGTCGGATGTTACGGTCGTCATGGCGGTTGTCTTGGTCTGAAATGAGTGAGGATGGATTCGAAGACGTTCAAACTTCCAATAAGATGAAATCGTGTGAGAATTAGTATTTCGTCAAAGCCGGGCACCTGCGACTTTTGTATGAGTAGGGTCGAAGGCAGCAGCACATCACCTGACGAAGCTAACGGACCCTCGACCGAGAAATGCGACCATTTCGTACAACAATTTGGTTCTTTCCACAGAAGCACCATTATCGCCTATGCTAGATCCACAGTATGAGTAAGGATCGTCGAATGAATCCAGTGGGTAGCTGAGCCGCGGACAGTACGGTAGGCCTGGAGGCACTGGATACGGGATGATGCGCGATCTTCTTAGATGCGTGGTAATGCATAGATGCTACATAGATGCAAAATGAGTATGCATCATCAGCTATGGCTAGCATTGAACACGTTCCGGGCATAATAAGGATATGAGAGTCTTTACGTTGTGGAGTCCAGAAGACCATCTCCCAACTCAGCGCGACTTCCCCAACCCACTAGCGCCTTGGCACACATTTTCCGCCGCAACACCATCACCGTCATCACCAACCCATCGCGATAGACGCACGCCGCCCACAACCCGCCATCGCACATCTCCCTCCCGCCACACGTGGCCCCTTCCCACCCCCAAAGCCAACGCAATGCTATCCCGCGCCCTGACCCTGCCCATCCGGCGGCCGTCCACCTTCCAAACCCTGCGCAGCACCCTCCGCACACGCACCCAACACATCCACACCCCAACATGTTCCTGCGTGCGACCCACACTATCCACCTTCCGCTCAGCACCTAGCACGGGCATCCGCGACCTTGTTTCGACTTTCAACGGCCTTAGCATGGGAGGAAGGATACAAACGCGCGGCATGAAAGTGCGGAGTTCAGTTAAGAAGCTGTGTGATGGATGTAAGAGTGTGAGGAGGAAGAAGGGACGATATGTTTATATTATTTGCTCGAAGAATCCGAAGCATAAGCAGAGGTGAGTTTGGATGAGGTGGGGATGGGATGGAAGGTGGGTGCTAACAGCGCGTAGGCAAGGATAGAGAGCTTTCGGACACACGAGGACACGAGAGAGCATCTTTGGGGGTGATCGCCGAGTTTGTGGAGAATGACGTGAGAAAGAGGAGGAGCTGTATCATATGTATGCATAACAGGGCATCACAGGCGTTTAACACGGCACTACGAGATTAGGATAGGACACTCAGCTACAATCACAATGGGAAACGGACTGCCATTGCAGGGTAACCTCGGTGCCACGTAAATCGTGTATATCATTACATCGTAACCCACCCTCGCCCTACAACCACCCATCTGCATCTCCATCTCCACACGCAACCCACCTCACCCCATACTCCCCCCACTCCTATCCCCCGAAATAATCCCCGCCATTTTCAACAACTCCCTATCCATCTCCGCATCCCCCGTCCCAAGATTAACCCTCCTTCTCGCCTCCGCCTCCCTCTCCTGCCACGCCCACTCTTTCCTCTGCTGTTCCGCAACCTCATCCCCACCACACCCCCACACCTCCAAACACTCAATCTCAAAGCGATCCTGCCAATCCCTCTTCTTCCTGCCAGGCAACTTGCTCGGATGGAACGAGCCCCCGCCCTCCGACAGATGCGTGAAGATGCCGAATTCGAGCGCGTCATCGAGGTGCAGGGAGACGGGGCCAGGGCGAAAGGGCGAGTGCGAGAACTGTGTTGAGGAGGCTGTTTGTGTGGGGATGGGGGTGCCGAGACCGAGGCCCGCGGGGTGGGTGGGCGATTTGGAGAAGTAGGTGTAGTCTTTGCTGAAGGTGGAGGCGGGGAAGATGTCGTGGGTGGGGGAGAGTTGGAAGAGCTGGGTGGAGGAGTCGCCGAAACAGGTTTTGCCTGTGTGTTTCCATTGTGAGGATATGTAGGCGCCGTAGATGAGGGTTTGGTTGGGCGCGCTGGATGTTATGCTGGAGGGGTGGCGTTTGGGTGGGAGCATGTCTTGTAATGCGCGTTCCCGTGTGCTAGAGGGTGTTGCAGGGAGGAGACGGCCTTTTACGAGGAGGATGGTAGGCGCGCGCCAGTTGAAGACTTGCTTTTCGAAGGAGCCCATGCTGAAGCCGTGGGTGTTGCCGCTGTATAGTGGACGTAGTCTGCGGAAGAGATTGCTGCCCTTGATGAAGAACGAGAGTTGGCTGAGTGTAGTCAAGTTCAAGATCTCTCCCGGCTCCCGTAAGACTGGCTCCAGTTCTGCCTTCGGCGGAGGTATCACAGGCTTGCTCCCTTGTGTGGGTGAGCCAGGACCTGCCTTCTTTTTGGAGAGATCGAAGTCTTTCGCAAAGAGGAAGTGCTCGAATAGTGGGTTGAGGCCGTTGAACAAGTAGGGCATCGTTGTTGAGACGACAGTGTTGAAGGTGCGATATGTGACTCCTGGATGATTCTCGACGTTGAAAGACGACAGTATGACATGCGCCGCCTGCCGTAAATTCTCGACCCGCTTATCTGAGAGATCCGGTGCCAGTGACGAGAGACTTTGCTGCGCATCGATCGGCGCAATAAGCAGCAGCAGCTGAACCAGCTTGAGGAAGTTGTCCGTCGGTATAATCGAATGATGAACATTCGTCTGCTCCCCATGCTTAAACGCGTCGATCGCATCCATAGAGTCCAACGCAGCCAGCACCAACTCATCATCATCCTCGTCCTCCCCTTCCTCTCCCTCGTCCGGCGCATCAATCGCCCACCCCATATTACTGCTCCCGCCCTCCACCTTCTTAGCTTTATCTTCCACTTCCTTCTCCTTATCCTCCAAACTCGACCGAATCCCCTTATCATAAATTGCCAAACTCCTATAAACCTCCCTCAACCAAATCTCCTTCCCCCTCTTCTTAAGCACAGCCCCATACCTCTCCGTCAATATCGTAACAACCTTCAGCAACGCCTCTTGTGTAAGTATAGCCGGCGCCTGGCTCGGAAGGGGAAACGCGCCCAGGTAGCTAGCCATCTGGAAGACAACAGAGCCCACGCCGAGCGCATCAGGCAGTTCGAGGAAACGACATAGCGTGCTTTCGCTCCAGTATTGTACGCCGGATTCGGTGTCGGCGAGGGAGCGGAAGACGGAGTTAAAGCAGTAGAGTTCGAGCGGGGAGAAGCTTTTTGACGCGAAGCGTTGGGCGATGGTTTGGGAGAGTTGTTCTGGGGTTCGTTAGTTGGAGTGTTTAGGCGGCGACTGAGTAGCGGCGGGTGTAGAATGGGAAGTAGTCGACGGAGTGTACTTACCCAGCGTCAGTTGCGGGGTATCGTGCGATGCTCCTTGACCCATGATCGCGGTAGCTAGGCGGTTTCGGCGCGAGGTGGCATGAGCGGGGAAGTTCCTAGGTCGTCGCGTCGCGATGCTGTGGCTCGATGGGCGATGACGGAATGCGGGTTATGTCCGATAACACCGAAATTCTCGACGCGTACATTGTCGACTCTCTTTCACATCGAGGTGCATCTACCGCGTATCATCTCATCCACGCTTTCAGATCGAACCTTCAGATTAGTTCTACAAAATACGAAGAATGTCGTCGCTAATATACAGCGTCTTTTCCATGCATGTATGCTACGCGACGTAGCGACGCGATGGGGCAACGGGTTGAGCAACGATCTTGCGCGGAAAACATCACACCACTCAAGGGAAAGAATAGACATCCACTTACGGAGGATGATAGAATCAAATAAGCTAGACGCTCACATTGCGTTAAGGTCTTGCTAACTTCCATCCTAATACTGACATAGTCTACAGAGCACCTGTTCATCCCCTACCCCGTCCGCGTCCACCGCGATCTCCACGATCACCCCGTCCGCCTCCTCTGCCACGACCGCGTCCACCCCCGCGAACCCATGTCGGCGCATCTCCCATAGTGAAGTTATCACTTGGAGGAGGTCCACCTCGACCGCGGCCGACATTGTAGAACCCAACGGGCGGAAGGGGACCGGCGGGAGGTGGAGGAGGGAATGCAGGAGCGGAACCATCCAAACCACTGCCACGACCCCCGCGGCCAAAGACCCCACGACCGAAGCCTTGGACGCTATGAGAAGCTCCGCCTCGTCCGCGTATAAAGTTCATGGTGTTGCTGTTGTAAGGTGGGTGAACGGTACTGGAACTGCTCTGTCCACCACGAGTACTAGGTTCATCGCTGCTGCCGCGACCACGTGTAGACGACCTAAGTTCATAGCGAGGAGCTTCAGCAGAACCCTCCACGGCAGGTCCGTTTGTATCGGCAGTTGTATGGCCCCTACCGAATCCTCCACGATGTTGGCCACGGCCGCGGTGGAAGCCTCCGCGTGCAGCATTCTGCAGATTTTGATTGTCCATGGCTTCACCGAAATCATCCAAATAGTCCCACATGGATTGAGTGTCTGTCTGGGCTGGCGAGGATTTTGCCACTGAAGCCCACGTTGGTGCTTCTGACGAACTTGCCATAGAAGACCCCGTCGGTGCTTCCGATGAGCTCGTTGTAGGACCCCCCGGTCCAGGTGGGTAAGGCGAAAGCCCAGGCCCGAAATGACTTGCCGGTACCATTCTGCGTTTTGGGGCTTTCGGGGTAGGAGGAGCGACGTATTCGACTATGAATGTAGCGCCGTACTTCCTCAATGCGGTCTGTAGATGTGGTAGCATGGAGCCCAAATCGCTCGCTTCTGGAACCGGGCGACGAGCAGTCATGGTGTCAGCAAGAGCCTCGTCGTAGGCGTACAGTTCGTCTTCGATCATTCGCTCAATAGCCGATTTGTCAGATTCACCCATCCTCTCTTTGGCCCACTTTTCCACTGTACTGAGAATGGTATTGCCTTGCTGTTTGAAGTGGAAATCGACAACGTCTTTCCAAAGTGGTGGCGGTTCATCGAGCCAAGCTAGAATGGCAGTGCGTACGGTATGGTCACGAATCTTTCTGTTGTACATCGCTGAAGGCCCGTTGGGGCTGCGAGTATAGCCCGCTTCCCTTCCTGGTTCGTTGTACCATGGCTCCTCGCACAGTATCATTGCTTGTATGGAGATCAATACTTGTAGCAATGTCGACTCCCCAGAATTCCATGGCTCTCCAGACCATGTACCAAGTAAAGATAAGCAAACTTTACCGTCTGCGTAAAGATTTGGGTTAATGTTTAGACGACCGCCCGCTGTTCCCTTGAAGTTGACCTGCGGAGGGAGGTTCGGAAACATCTGGCCGCAGAAGATGTCGAACTCGAAGAGGCCATTTTCATACGGTGTATCAGCAGGTCCGACAATGACGCACTTGAGGATATCGGGCCTATCCTCGCAATAGCGTACGAAGATGCCCGGTGGCAGGCCCGTTTGCAGCGTCGTAATCTCTGTGATCAACCGCTTGAATCTTCCCGGCTGGGAGTCCATGAAGCCCTTCGCTGTGTTCCAATAGTAATGAGTTTCTGACATCAGCTTGGAGTCTACATCCCTCAAACCGAGGCCATCAGGTACCACGACGGTCGCCTTGCCGCCTACGCTATCGGTCGCTGTGATCATATGCGTTTGAATGAACTCGGTAAAGGTAGCAATGCCTTCGCATACTTGAATAATCGTCAGGTCCTCGTCACCCATGAAAACTTTTATGTTCGCCATGAAGCTCTGTAGCATCGTTGAGCTCTGAGTAGTGAGGTTTCGTAGACATTCGGCTAGAGTGGTCACCCTCTCCTTTGCGTCGGGTACCCCATCATTGAAAGAGAGCGTGAGCAAGTCTATTGTCTCAGGTCGCGCATATCGAGGGCCAAAGAGCGCTGCCTTCGTACTGGAATGCGAGCCAACCATAGTCAGGAAGGAGAACAGCGCCTGATAGAGGTATTTGCGGTTGGTAACATCGACCAACGAGTCGTTGCGTAGGAGCTCTGCGCAGTATGGGAGGATCTTGCTGTTGTTGAGCATTTCCAAGATGGCACCGGGAGGATCGAAATCGAAGCAGGCCTCCCGCTCGAGAGACGGAAGCAGATCGGTCAAGCAATACAGGACAGTTATGCTGAACATGTCTTCTTTTTTCTGTGTAATCCGCGCCTTTGACATGAAGTCGTCTTTTCTGCCCATCGCATTCTTGGGTTTGGGTTTGTTGGGTATGGGCTTCATCGAGTTCATAATGTGTTCAAAGCCGTTCGGGGTTGGTGCTTTCCCATACATGTCTTCCAGTGCTTCAACATTGAAAGGCAAACCGTTGATATCATATCCGGCTTCGCCATCGTCTTCAGAGGTGTCGTCGTCGTACATATCGTGATCATGTCCACTGGAACCCGAGGTATGCCCGCCGTAGCCCTTACCACTAGGCATGGATTCTCTCGAAAATCTGTGACCGCCCAAGGGACCTGTATTTAACCCTCCGCCGCGGGTAGACTTCTGGATCTTCATGGCCTTTGATTTCGACTCCGGCTTGACTTGCTTGGATATGTTCCCGAGATTTCTGGACTCCCAGATGCGCCGATCGAATCCACAGAGGAGTGCCCATATCAGGAATAAACGCCCGCCCATACAACACCATGACACGTTCTGTGAGGCAAACCCGACCTTGGATGACTTTGTGAAGGCGACTGGCTCGCATGCGATGCATGAACGCGTGTTGCAGTTACTGCATCTGAGATTGCAGGATAACTGATCCACCGTACCGTCCGCCCAGTCTTGAAACAGGTTCCGAACATCCAGTTCCGATGAAAAGAACAGGTCGTTGCATACGCGGCATCTGCGTATCCTGAGGTGATTTGTGAGTTCCGCGAAGGTGTCTAGGGTAACATAGTTCGACCGCGTCTCGGGCTGGTAGTCTGCGATCCTTGTATAGTCCTTGTCTGCTTCTTCTATAGGGTTGGCAGGGCTCGTTGTATGCATGGCGGATCCGTCATCGGAGTCGTCCCTGTCTGCGTCGATTGGGTCTCCTTCCGACATCGTGCCAAACTCTCACAATAAGCAAAGAGCCTGGAGGTATTCTGTAGATCTTTGGGTGACAGCAGAGGGCTGGAAACTAGGCCGGAAGGTCGTCACAGATCTTTCGGTCGCCAGATACGTTTGCCAGAAGACGTTGTATGCTGCGAGCAAGTTGAGTGTTGATAACGATTGGGTAAAACAATGCTCGCACAAATACGCGGAATGCGAGGCTGATTCCACGCTCACCCCAGCACGTGCCGCAAACCGCAAACGCTGCTCATGTGCAAGCTGCCGTGTAGCGAGCGGCGGAGTGACGGAAGAATACGCTGGCACTTCTGATGTTGCGATGGGTGTGGAGAGAAGGTCAGTAAGAGCGAAAGGCAGCGACGGAAACGGAAACAAGGCTAACTACGGATAGACGCAGTCACCTTTACTTGCCTGGGCGAGGGCCAACCGCGACTGCCCAATGGGAACTCACTGTTGTTACACAGGCGCTGCGGGTCTCAGCCGCGGAGTTGGGGCTGAGCATGTGACGTCGGTGCCTAACCACATTCCTGGGAGCATCTGCGTGCTTGCAGAAGCGCGCTACGTCCGCGCAGTCACATGGGCATGAATATCAGAATCAACAATTATGCTAAAAGCATGGGTAGGTAAGTGTCGATACATCTGGATCTTTCCAGATCGCTGTCTCATTCATGTCAAGGGTATGAGCCGAAGGCCATGCCAATGACCCTAGCTCCTTCCCAACACGAGCAGCAAACCTATTCAAACACCGCTGCAGATGCACGCTCAGACGCCTACAACATCACCAACCCGATACCGCCCATGTGGTCCTTGCTCGACTGGTTCCGCGAATCAATGCCACCCGGTATCGGCGCAGCGCGGTAGTTGTAGAGGTAGTAATGCAGGGAGCCGTCTCCAGCGCCGAAGCGTTGCTCCTCCAGGAACAGCGGGTTATCGAGAAGGGTAAGCGCGTTGAAGACGTCAAAGTCGGCCTGGTTATGTTAGCAAAGATATGTATTGGAGGGTAGGGTGCTCACCTTCTTTGACAAAATCAACGCGTCCTTCATCAGCAAGTTTAGTCGCTGCTTGAGCTTTGTCTTGTCCTTGTCCTCTTTGTCGAATGCGACTTCTGTACCGTAGTAGAAGAGGTATGCCGCCTTGATGGTGTTGTGCTTCTTGTTGCCGATGACAGTGCTCTCAAGGTTGTAGAAGGAGAAGTAGTCGGTGATCTTGTGGGTGTAGGGGTCCTCAACAACGTAGCTCCACACAACCTGCTCCTTCGGCTTCTCCTTCGGCGCCATCCAGTGCTCGAATTCGGTCTTGTTGAAGACTTGTGCCATGTCCATGCGCTCCAGGTATCGCCTCAGCAGATCAACAGCTGCGTCAACGTCCTTGGCCTCCATCTCGCGAAGTCCAGGGGTGGA